CTATGTTTGTGGAGGCCTGGGATTTTCAGTGGCCTCCACACGCAAATCATTGAACGGATTATAATTAAATGGCTTTTCAATGACTATGATGAATGTATAGCTTTACTGGTGCCAAATTTTAATTATTTATTTAGGTATTATTGACCAAAAAATAGCTGACATCACTTACAGAGAGACAGATTACCACAATTTAACAGTTCTTGCTACATAAACAGGGTTATTTGTGGCCCATATCTTGCCTGTTTGTGGCTATTGGCACTCTCTACTTAAAAAGGTAAAATACAGGATTTATTCTGAAATGTAACATGTGACAAAGCATCATGTACACAAACATTTGTATCTTCATATACACAAAAACTACACAAAGCTTGTATACAGTGTATGTACCCTATTGATTCTTAGTGAATGAATGAATAATGATGTTACCCTTGGGGACCAACCAGTAGTTTTCTGGCATAAGAAATATCACACAACATTATCATTTTTTTACGTTCTTCACCTCACACATGATCAATCTACCAAAGAGCCGAGGCCACATTCAAATTATGCCATATGTAGAGTTACATATAATACATATTAATTAAACAGGGCATCTGTTTCATCCCAAAACTGTATTGGATGAACCATTATGGAAGATGGATATGTGTATGTTGTGTAATGTCCTATTTGAATCAAAGACTTTACCACTTAACCATATTGACAGAAATATATGCATGAGGACAATATTACTCTAAATGCTTTTCATATTGTTAATTATATGGAAAATGACTAACAACCCTGCACTTCAACTGTATAACTTCAGATGTTCTGGGCTGGCGATAGCATTTCACTGAGCATGTGCGCCCCCCAGGGGTGTGTGTTCCATCCTCTGCTGTTCACACTACCAACTCATGAGCTCATGGGACTTTTACTTACACAAAAATGTTGCGAGGGAAAAAGGAAAAATGATTGGTTCAGAGAGATAACCAATCAGATTGTCGTACTGAATCAATATTTTTGCATGATGATCATTTTATTCTTTTATTGTATTCTGTTTTGCACTTGTGGGGTCATAAGAGTAGTGAGGCTTGAGAATGGCGAATTGTTATGTGCATGCGTGAACCAGAAGGGACCTGAGGGCTGTGCTGCGTATCCGGTTGTTGCATGTGCCCTTAACTGTGTTTGTATTTGGTCCTCGTCTGATCCTGACATGTCTTAGGCATCATGCAATTACCCGCCATGTGTGCACCTTACCATCCTTAGTGTAACTTCCCTGTGTTTCTCTGCATTCAAGGTCTTGCTGTGTTGTTGCTTATATGTGGTCTTTTTAAGGACTGTAATTAGAGAAACTTCGTGTGAATCCATCTCTCCTTGCCTTCATCCACTCGGTCTGCCCGGTGCTTCAATACTATATTATTCTATAGTATGCTTTATAATATACTATACTATCATGGACCAGCTGAACAACACTACAAATCCCAGAATGCACCTCATTCCCATCTGTTTTATCCTTTGATTCTGAGATTTTGTCTGCCTATTTGGATTTGTTGCTCCTGTTTGTTAACTTATTTGACCACCAAGATTTTTACCTGTTTTTCCTTTTGACTTTGGCTTGGATTACCCTAAAAAACCTGCACCCCCATCTTGCGAGTAGTTCTGCCTGCCCCGGCCCATGACAGAACAATGTCACCAGGAGCAGAACTAGCAAGATGGACCAGTTTCCCGCTGCAGAGGGATGCAGGTACCTTGAACCTCACCTGGGCACCCCTGGTCCTTTCAATGGAGATCCAATGACTTCTTGAAACTTTCTGTCTCAATGTTCTTTTGTACGGCCTTTCTCTTTTTCCCACTGATAGAGCCAAGGTGGCATACATTCCTCTCCTTTCCGGATGAGCTGCTCTGTGGGCTATAGGTTTGTGGGAGCATCGCAATCCGACTTGCAACTTCTTTGAGGATTTTTCTTGGTTAATGAAACGAGTTTTCAACCACGGCAAGCAGGGCTGAGACCTGTCCAAGGTCAAGGTGGTTACTGAATGGCCCACACCTACCACATGAAAGGCTTTGCAACGTTTCCTGGGATTTGGCAACTTTTACCGGCGTTTCCTTTTAGAGGGAAGGCTTGCAACCCATCATGCATTCTGTGCACTGAAATGACGTTTTACCACAGCCCCCATCCTGTGTAGGTGCTTCTTTTGTGGTCAATAGAGCATCAATTCATCTTGGGAAAGACTGATACAAGTTCTGCACAGCGATCAGAGGGACCTTGAACCATTCCTCTTCCAGAACAGTGGCCAGGTCGCTATGTGATGCTCGTGATGGAAAAACGTTTCCTGACTCATTTCTCCAAAACACCCTAAACAGTGCTGGCACCACTGAAATCAACATTTGCCATTGGCAGGAGTGGCCAAAGGTTTGGCTATAGCAACCCGACTATGAATATTGACCCTCTGGAGCTCCCAACAAACAAGTTTTGGTGGAAACGGGAGAATCAAGGTGCACATATACTTCTGAAGTGAATTGGGCTTCTGAGGTTTTATGTTTTTTTAGATACAATCCAGATTAGTGCCCAGACATCCCTTTCAGTCAGTTTCCTCTTGTTGGATGTGGTCTGTCCTTTGTGGTGGTACAGCCTCCTTACCCTGTATACCACAAAGACTTGCTGTCGTTTTCACAGATGTGCCAGCAAGACACACACTGACAATTTGTCCTTTTTAAAACTCTAATATGCCTCCCATTATATTGCAATATATTATGTACAACTATGCTATTGCTCTGCCAATTCAACCTTCATACTCTGCTCGTACTGATGGAATGTGCATCAGTGAAGACTGGCCACCAGGTCGCGCATATATAGGTGTGAAACCTCAAAGACTAGAATTTAATTTCAATTTCATTGTCCAACCCCTGTACTTACTACTAATATGTTTGTTTATACAGGACTGCACAATCTAATAGTTTTTCTATTGTCACCCATAAAGTCATATCAAGTTTTGCTTGTGTACAATACTTCACATAACAAATAGTGGCTAATTCTTTAAAGAGTAAAACTACATTATATTAAAATGCGTTTCTATGCTTAACCTAACATGAAATGCGAACATGACTCAAAGTATCAGACCTCAGTATTGTAAATATAGTACAAAGTCAACTGAATGGGGTTGTTTTTTTCTCTGTCACACCTTGACTTCACACTGAAATAGGCCGCCTTAACGTTACCATTTTTAACCACATAACCCACAGAAGTGGAATAAACAAAAGCTCCGTACGTGTTCCTGTCTACCGTCCGACAGAAACAAGCTGATGTTTTCCTGCGTTAAAGCGAAACTGAAAGAGTTACTATACTTCTAAAATTTACAACTGGATAATACTCTCATCTGGATTGTATTTCTCCTGCCGCTCGATCTTACCTTCCCTATGTAAGCAAATATACATCTCTCAGTTATGCGAGCCGCCTTTGTTTTAACCTAAGCGATTTAAAAAATTGTAAAAGATTTCTTTACTTTCGCAGCAATTTTTTTCCTGTTTGCTGGACGGTGTTACATTTTAAAGACGTATACATACATGTAGTCCAATCCGCAGTATCTGGACAATCACGTCTAAAAGTAACTTTATCTGTTTTATGTGGTGGTTTAAATAAAAACAGGATTAGGGTTTCAGGTGAAATAACAACAGATAAGCACATTAAAGTCTTCCCTAAAAGAGCAGAAAGCGGTGTTTCAAGATAGTACTGAATCAAATTTCACTGTCATATCAGTAATCTTTATATTAACCGTAACTAGAGAACACTTAGAACAGTTGTGATGGTCAGATGTGACATTTTATCTATACTTGTGGTTTCCTAGAGGACTCGTGGCTACAGCAGACATGCAGTGACCTCTACTGAAGACAATTGTATTTTTTTCCAACCTGGATATCGTATAAAATGTTCCAGCGTATGCAACTGCAGCTGCCATATAAAAGGTGTTATTTTTTTCAGCAACCATAAACTATTTTTTATTATTATGTGTTATACTAGAATTTACTTTTGTTACAAAATGACTACAGAATAATGACGATAGTAACAGAAGTTAGGATAACGTAACTACTAAAATGAAAACCAAACTCTTTAATTTCACTTCTTTGTTCTGTGTGGTTGTTTTGGTCTGAAGAAAGCAGTTATACAGTAAACAAGTAATATTTAGCATTTTGTTGAAAACGCAGCAACGGTGCACGTACCGTAACGTACGTAATACTTTGTTATAACTGATTTATATCCAGTTACTGGATGGCAGTTTGCTCCCAGTGATATTCTGGGCTCACCTCATAATCCCCTGTACGTCCCAATACGCCCGTGCTGTATGCGTATGAAATATGTCTATATGTATTTGTACTCAAGTAGCCCTACTCAGGTATACTGGGTATTTTTGAGTTATCCAGCTTGTCCTGTCCTTGTCTATAAAAATGCATTACTGCACAATTCAGTCACAGTGCAGATAGGGAAAAGTTTAAAATGTTTGGAAGCCCCTTTTCCTCATTGTACCACATTAATGATTTTTTTAAAAATCCATATATGTTTAAAAGGAAAAAAGTTGTGTTTGGCATGCAGTCACATTAAGGTGTAAGTAATGTGCATCTTCAATTGCAGGTATCTGTTGCATATATGATTTATAAACATTATATATTTTTAACAGGTGCCAAAACAACACACAAGTTAGTACGTAAACGCCCAGCTGTCAAGGATTCAACTAGGCGTACAAACAACCAGGCAGCTTATACAGTAATGAATGTGTGAGGTATAGGTGTGAGTACAATCGGAGCAAGATCTACGGAGCAACTTCCAAACAGTGCAAGATCCTAATAAGACGACTGCAAATCAGAAGACAAAGTGCTACTTTATTTCTATACATAGCCGCCTTTTATCCCACCTGCTAAAATCTTTGCGTGCTTCACTCCCAAACTGCTGTTTTCACACCTCATAGGGCCAGCCAGGTTTTCTGTGGTTGCTGTGGCACTTATGGATGAAAAAGGGGGAGCAGATTTTACTACAGGTATATTCTCACAGTATGTAGCCTTCAACCAGTGAGTGGCTTAGGTAGCATTTGGTGTAACAACGATAAGTTAATGTCCTACCAGGTGTTATATGCACTTATATTTTATTGGGCCGCCGTGGTTCAGCAATGTGTGTAATTCAGTAGCCTTTGGATTTTCATATTTACACTCAGGAAGTGACTTGGGGAAGTGAAACGTCTGCCTTTCCTTACCGTTAATAACATTGTTGTATACATTAGGTTTCCTCTGATATTTGTACTTTTATTAATTTTTAAACAAATGTTTGTAGAATAACACTGAAACATTGGGTGATATAGAACTGAAGCATGATGTCTGAGGTTGGGGCATCAGAGGATATTAAATTTATGTTGTTTTCTGACTTTTGAAGGACTATAACTTTTTGGGAAAATGGGGTACATATCCATCCATCCATTCTCCCTCTCTCCCTCTAAACCACCTATCATTACTGAGTCACAGTCAACCTGGAGGCCATCACTGGGCCATCAGATAAAACAGGAAAATGAAGTTATAAGAAAACAACACAAAGGAGAATGATTTCACATAAGAAAATGTTTTAATATTTCGTGCAGTTATGTTTTAAATCAAGTCAGAGCCCGTAGTCTGTTTTCAGTAGGGTGTTGCCTAAAATGGAAGTGGGTCTGTTGTGTTCCTTTTTTAAAATAAACATTTTTAATTTTGAAGAATGGGGTGCTGTAAGCACAAAAACATGATTTTTCTTGTATGTCAAAGCACGATTTGTCAAAAAAGCCGAATTCTTCTGTTGTAGTTTTGATTACATAAAACATCTGTTGATTCTGTGTCATTTCTTGAAAGCACATTTAAACTGTGCAACATTGCAAATTAGACTGATGATAGAACTTTATCCATGCTTTTTCTATTACATTTTGTTTAGCTGATGAAGTCTACAGAGAATAGCCAAAAGGCTGCATTTTGGTAAAAACACTATTGATTTTCCCATTGAAATGATGAATTGCTATTCGTCAGCTTTCACATTTAAACCGGAACCTTTTTTTCTGCGCTGATAAATTGCAGGAAATAAATCAAATCACTGAGCCACAGAGATTCTAATTGGGGGGGGGGGCTTTTAGATTGAAACTGGTCCTACTGGGATGAGCTGAGCTGAGTTCCTGTCACTTTCACGTTATAACTGCTCTGCTGCCTTCCTGCATTTTGTGAATTCTTTGTGCTTTGCTTTTCACTGTTTGGTTCTTAAATACAACATACATAGGCCTTAAGACCGCTAGGCAGATGTACATTACACAGTAACATGCAAAGATTTTGTAGAATCTTGCACTGCCTAGTTTTAATTTGAAATTTGATACCCTATATCTGTTCTGGTATTTGTTTGCTCTTGGATTATTACTTGGGGGGGGGAGCTAAATTCATTGTTAGAGCCCTACCTACAGCATAAAATGCTGCTGAAAGAAAAAAAAAATACTTGGGCCCTCACTAAATCTCTGTGCCCTTTGCTAGTTTTTCTTTTGTCACGTATAGTCATGGCTTTCTGTCGAGGCTTGCTGTTAACCCCTGTAGTCTTATTCCTCAAGGATTTTATGTTCTTAAATTGTAATACTCTTGCCTGTATTTACATTTAGAAACCAAACTGACCGGCACTTCGATGCTACTATGCCGTGTCCTGCTCCCGGCTTGGCCCAATGAAAATAAAATGTCTTGTGACGGCAGCTCACGTGTTACATGTGTTCTTTCGATTTTTTCCTCCAAAGCTGACTGGCACTTCCTCATTGGCACTGTGTGAAGATCTGATCTGGGGACTGATTGACGCTCATTCTAGGCAAACCACTGAAACTACTCCAAGGTACAGTTTTACTCTTTCTTTCTGCTCTTTGCAGCATATTATTTTGTAGCAGAATTTCGTCCCATGCTGTTTTGGTATGGAAACCAGCAGATCTGGTAATACCACCAACCACTGCATGACTGCTTGTGATATAATAGAGAAAAACTGCTTTGAAAGCAACATTTATTCAGTAGCTGATATTTTTCTACCTCTCGTTGTTTTAATAGAAGAAAATCAGTTTAGTACCTTGTATGAATGTTGATATTAGTGTACATAAACTGATTTTTGGTTATTAGAAGTATCTAGTGTGACATACAAAGGTGAAAGTAAATTATGTAGATGAAAAGTGAAAGCTGTTTTAAAGACAATCTATAATTAGTCTTAAAAAATGTACAGCTATCTCATAACTAACGCTAAAACTGGGTGGAATATTTTGATAACAAGCCTCCATCCAGTGCCCTGTCCCTAAGCAGAATTTCTACACCACGTGAAACAAATTTGTGTTTTTTTAAGCATACGAAACACCATTCCAGAAGGGAGAGTCAGCTGACCTGGGTTCTGTGGACTGATTGGTTTCACCTGCCAGCTGTTCTCCACAATATGATTGTGTAGGCTGGGCTTTTTATTATCTTGCCTCAGTATTACAGAAGCTGCTTCACAACAGTTCCAAGCCCAGAAATCCCCTGCTCAGATGTGAGTGTTAATTTACTTTCTTCCTGATTGTCCATAAACCCAGGTCAATGTTTTGGCATTTCCATATTATCTTGCCACCCCCCCCCCTCCAACCCCCAACCCTAAAATGTTTTGTCAAATTCTTGAATTTTCTATCTCTTATCTGCCAGTTCCTTGTGGCATCAGCATTCTGTTCTCTATAATGTGGTTTTGTATTTATTCTTCAGTGGTTGTGATGGCTCCAGAAATTTAAACTAAGTACTATTATCTTACCAAGGGGTATATATTCATACATGTAAAGGCCTGGTTTCTAATTTGTTCAGTTACTATACCTTACCTGCAAATTTTTTTTTTTTAAACTTTTTCTTATAAATAAATTAATTTAAGATAAAGCTTCAGCAAAAGGGTTTTAATGGCAGTACATTATTTGGTAGACAAATTGCACTAACTGGTCATTTGCTGTTGTATAATTTTATTCTGCTATAATTAATCAGTTTTCTTCTGATGTTTATGGAAAGAAAGGTCCAGAGTATCAGCACAGCACTAAGTGGAATGAAAATGATTTAAAGCAGCATTTCTCAGCCCAGTCCACTGGGATCCCCAGACAGTCCACATCTTTGCTCCCTCCCAGCTTCCTGCACTTTTGAACCAAGCAATGAAGAACACAGAATAGATGGTGCAGGTGTGCTCAGGACTGGGGGTGGGGAACAAAAATGTGGACTGTCTGGGGATCCCAGTGGACTGGGTTGAAAAACACTGGGTAAAAGGAATGCTAATTTCTCAACCCCTCCTGCCAGTTGTGCTGGTCTAGGATCACAGAGGTGATGCTTCCTGAGCTCAGTTTTGGTTGGCAGTAACTGGGGACCAGTCCGATCCATGGAAGGAACTCTGAACAACAGCCAAGAATGGAGGTCCACTCTTGCAGACTTTGGGTCCATCAACTCTGTACCATACTCAGCCCACACTGAGGCCACTGAGAACAGGGGTATCTCTGATGTACGGAGGACCTTCTGCCTCTTCGTCACTTTCGACCTGCTCTTCATCACCTTGCTGTGGATCATAGAGCTTAATGTACGTATACCTTTATATTTCATTTATTATCATTTTTATCACATAGCCATTTGCGGTGGATCTAAGTACTATATATGAAATTTTAAAGGACCCCTTTGAAAATTGTGACATTGACATTGTGGAGCTATTTGCATTTTTTAATGATCCAGACAGCTATGTTGTTGGTGTTGAGCTTCTGGTAAGAGTGTTGCTTTGAAAAGCAGGTTAGTGGGGAGAGACTAGACGAGTTACAATCCAACAAAAAAACCCAATGAAATGTGGCAAAAAGAACCAGTCTACCTTGCCCTGAAGTGAATTTGCATAATGTAGGTTTGCAGGTGAAGGCTAATGAACATTCATAAAGAAAGCAATACCTGACTGGCTGGTGAATCACTGTTAATAGAGACTGTTTTATATTCATAAAGAAAGTGCTACCTGATTGGTCGGTGAATCGATGTTAATGGAGGCTCTTTTAAATTCACAAATAAAGCGCTACCTAATTGGCTGCTTTCACGTAGGCTAACATTACTTTTTAATTAGCTAGCTAGGTAACTACCCTAGAGTTTTGAACATTAGTACTGTGGCTAGCAAAGAGAATGATTTTTGTTTTATTGCGCTACAAAGGTAAGCATTTCCCAAAAGCTCCATTGCACATACATTATCTTAACTATTAGAGGCAGTGTTCAAAGCCACAAAACAGGGGCGTGTTTCCCAAAAGCGTCAAAAGGCATAGATCATCACTGGCTGTTGCAACCGTCAGTTAGTTAGTTGTGCCGATATCAGTCTTTTCAGTGTGGCTGCTATTGATCGTGCAAACAGAAATCCATGTCATCAAGAGAGGCAAATACAATTGAGTCCTGCCAAGAAGATGTTTGTTTTAAGAGGAAGACTAATGCGGCAGCGATGAGCTCCATTTGCCCATGGTGCAATTGCAGCTGTAACTGTCGTTATCAGAGTTTGTTGTTGTTTCTGTATGTCTGTGTTGTTAAAGTATTAGATTATTGCTTTGTATACAGTTTGTTTTGATGAGAAAGTAATTCATTTTAGTTTTCTATCCACATAAAATCAACCATTATACCATCTGTTTAGTATTTTGTAGCTGCATATCTCTACAGTTCATTAGTGTTCCAATTAATTTTGGTGTTTTAACGTCATACATTGTTACTCTCTTTTGTGTTGCAACCTGACACTAAACCGACCAATCAGGTAGCACTTCCTTCCTTCCTTCCTACCACGACCCAATACTGGAGCAGGGGCCTGTGGGTGGTTCTCACCTATGTAGTACAAGTGGGCTTTGGTACGCTGGGATATGCTGTGAGGGGTGCTGTGGAATTATCAGGTACCAGGGCTGGTACTGTTCTGCCCCTGTAGGAATGCAGTAAGACTCCATTTCTAGTGGATGTCAACGTCAGCAAGGGTGCTTTCTCAGAAGGGAAAGGTACTTTGCTTTCAGTTGCATATATGTATGTATATTTGTTAAAGGAGAGCAAGATATGAGGGATATGAGGAAAGAAGCATTCCAATATACCTGTAGTAATACTTCCGCAAATGGCAAATAAAGATAATTTCATTTCATGTTGGAGTGCTTTCTCATTTAGGTGAAGGTGGGAGAGTCTGTACTTCAGAGTCTTGTTCATGATTGATGGTGAGAAGGAGTGTGAGACTGACAGGAGGACTGGGTCGGTGATTGCAGTCGTATGGGTACTGAGGAGGTCAGTGGTGATGAAGCAGGAGTTTAATTGTGACAAGAGTCGGAATGTACTCGTTAATTTGTGTCCCTCTCCACTAACGGCCAAGAGCTGTGGGTAATCACTGAAAGAACAAGAAAGTACAAATGGCCAAAATGAAATTCCTCGGCAGAGCTGCTTGACTCACTGTCTGTGACAGGGTGAGGAGTTGGCAGATCTGGATTGTCTTTCAAATATATATATAGAGCTAGAAATATACCTGATGCACCTTCAGGAGTCAGTTGAAATGGTTCAGGCATCTTGCAAGGTTCCCAAGAGAAATTTTATGGGCGTGTCCCAATGGAGGGAGGTCCTAGGAAAGATCCGAGACATACTTGGCTCCTCTTATGCACTATCCACCTTAAAAATGCATCCTAGAATTTCTCCTATTCGGCGTCCTGCCACCATGGCCCTCACTAGGAAGAGCAGAGGGAAGGTGAGACTATGAATAATAAAAGTGTTTATCTGTGTATATGTAGGGGCAACTCAATGGGTAATGCACTTTACTCCAGTCCTGAAAGTTATTCCAGTTTTCTTTGTTGCATAGATCAGAAAACTGTTTCTGCAGATTATTGTGTTTATCTCATTTAGCGTATCTTTGAAACATTCTGGCAGTGATGTTTTTCCTATCTCTCTGTACTGCAGAGCACGCAAAAACAGGAATTTCCAGCACAACAGCTCAGTTATGTCCAACGCTAAGATAATTGTAACTAATCATAGCTTGACTGATGTACAGTGACATGAAGTATGTCTGCTTTTGATTCTTTGGTTTGATAAACATCTGATCTTTACCAGGTTCTAAAATTATGTGCGTTTCAGGTGACACACAACACATGACAGATTATACTCTTTCATAATTTATTTAACAAAAATATGCCAACATACAGCAGCCATGTGTGAAAAAGTAAGAACACCACAGGAACTAATTCATCCGTACATTAGAATTAAGAGGTTAATTAGCAGCCAAATGATCACCAGAAGTCTGACCAGCTCCATGATAGCAGACTGAAGGTCTGGAGCATTCAGGGATATTTTAGGATAATTTCTCTGTAGGTGACTGGATCTTTATTTTCCCCTGCTGGGGAGCAAATAGAATTGAGTGCTGAGATTGTTGTAAAATCAGTCTCAAAGAATGGTATATCTAGATCATATTAAAAAAAACTTCCTTTGTTTTGGTTTCATAAAACAAACACAGCAAAAACGGTCGAAAGTTATCAATCAATGTCTATGTGACATATATAATTCACACCAGCATGTTCCACTGGATTAGGTTACCTTACAACCATTGTCACATTTATATCTAGGAATACATTCTTGGTGCTATTCCTGAGGCAGAAAACACTACAGTATCCGAATGCAACCACATCTTTACAAAACCCATATGTTTTCATCTAAGTGCTTTTATTGTGGGTACATGTACTGTTCTGTAAGAAGTACAGAGTATCTATTACGGCTACATTGGCTAGCAGTGTGACTGGTTGCGACCTCTGGGAGATTTATTTACCTGCAATGTCAGTGTGGAAAGTTTGTCTCAGGTTTCTGTATCTGTATTTAGAATTTAGACCATGACAACCAACAACAGGGCAAAAAAAATGTATTGGTTCACACAGAAATACCAGGTAAACGTGTACAGTATATTAAATATGTGGACCAGTTATGATTCCGCCAATAATTACTCTGGGCTTGACCTTTTGTCTAGTCCGTAACTTGTTACTACTTACTTTCGTTGTACCAAGAAAAGTATATCCAGTCTGTATTAGGTGAAATGCAGTACATGCAAACTATTTAATTAGTATAAATGTCCTATGAAGTAGCTATGGAGTAGCTATGGAGTTGTGAGTATATTCTAGACTACATAGTCCTTTCATTTCATTTTCTTTAGGCCAATGGAGGGATCAAGGATCAGCTGACCAAAGAAGTCATAGATTATGATTTCCATACCTCATTGTTTGACGTATTTGTAAGTTCTTTGCTAATTCCATCATATATATCTGTTTAATAACTTTATAGTGAAGATTGTATCAGTCAATCAGTTGCTGCATTCTGAGACCGGACATATAGTGACAGTATAATGGACAAGGAATACAATGTGGACCCACAGTATTACACTGGATCCTTCACCTCACTAATACCTCATAGGGAAGGAGATCAATGGTGCTGTGTGTGCTGTCGCTGAGGAGAGTCCCTGCTCACCTCCGTAAATGTGTTTAGAGCAGGGGTGTCAAACGCCAGTCCTGGGGGGCCGGAGCCCTGCACAGTTTTTGGGTTTCCCCTCATTTAACACACCTGATTTAACTCCTTGTGCTAATTACCACACGGCTCTTGAGCTGAATCATTTGTGGTAGAATAGGAAAGAACTAAGCTGCACAGAACTAAGCTCCGGCCCCCCAGGACTGCAGATTGACACCCCTGATTTAGAGCTAAACATTGCATTGGTGCCCTTGTCAACCTTATTATTATTACTGATATAAGGGAAATTTTGCATCATTTTGAAGTTGTAACATCAATTATTTGTATATTTTATTTAAAGCAAATTTTGGCTAAATATATAAAAATACGATCTGTTGATGAATATTGTGAATATTTTTTTTCCTTACATAATAAGCAGAGTCTTTTCTGGTACTGGAAATTCTGCCCACTTAGCTACTTGGTCTGTATGAAAACCTTTTACCAATAATAAATGGAATACTTTCTCCCCATTATTGAAAGGATAATTACATTCTTTAGCTAAAGGAAAAGACATCATCAGTCAAAATTTATAGATTCATATCTCTCTTTTTTCCCCCTCCGCTGACATTGACGGGCTGATAGACATAAAGGTTACTTTCTTCCCAGTGATGTTAGAACCTCACCCATGTATTCTGCCCCCTGCAGGTTCTGGCACTGTTTCGATTCACTGTCCTCACCCTGGCCTACGCGCTCTACAGGCTGCGGCACTGGGGCGCCGTGGCGGTAGGCAAAACCGCGAACAGCACAAATGCGACCGCGGTTTAGCCATGCTTTTTGAACGCAGCGATGCAAAATGTGCAATGTATAGAAATGAAATTTTATGCTATTATTGTACTGCAAAGCACTCTACCAGCTAGTAAGCTACCAGTAAGGTGAGATACTACTGGTAAATAAATAAAGAAGAAATAAAAGTAATACTAATAAATCCAGGATGCTGTCTTTATAAATATATATATATATATTTTTTTTAACAGATAACAACATTAATCACCTCTGCCATCTTGATAGCAAAAGTCATAATTACTGAGGTTGGTTTCCCTACCAGATATGAAGTTCTAACTGACAAGGATTTCCATATGATGTCTGAGGTGAATCAACCTTTTTTATAGCTTCTTTCTCAGGGGGTCTTTGGCTACCTGATTCCCATCATCTCCTTCATCCTGGCCTGGATTGAGACCTGGTTCTTGGACTTCAAAGTTCTTCCAAAGGAAGCTGAGAACAACAACCGTAAGTGACATATCACTGAAGTACTCCCTTAATGACATAATTTTGTATGATTGGTATTTGATTTAATTTGTGTTTGAGTTTTTTTTCCCCCACTTCATTTGTGAAAAATCTGTGTCATTTGTTTTATTCATGTTGAACCTTTCAAAACTCACCCTTTCTCATTCAAACCAAAGTAAATACCTGTACATTCTTCCAAAACATAATTTCTAAGCTGACCCGTGTATTTTATTGAGCAGTAGTAACTTGTAGGGTTGCCATGTCTAACAGCATTATGCATTTTTCATAGTTCTGTGCTAGTTCTATGTGGTGTGTGGGTCAGTTGGTTTGGATACTGTGCCTGTGGTCAGAAGGTTGCTGGGTCGAATCCTATGGTCTCCAATGTGACGCCACACATCAAAAACTTGAGCAAGGCCTTTAACCCCCAATTACTCCAGGGACTGACTGACCCTACTTTCTCAAAAACGTGTATTGTGCAAACATCTGCTATATAAATAAATACAACACTTATTTAATAAAATATAATGAATATTTTAAAACAAGAGGACCCTAATCTGGAAAATATATTCTAAGCTGAACAAAAAGCAGTCTTTGTATCAGTTTGCAGACTGAGATGTAGACAATGATCGATGGTTAACCTGCACGGATCACTTCCTGTTTGTCAGGGCTGCTGCCGGCCGGGGGTGTCACTGAGAGAGCCCCCCTCATCCACCCCAGAACTTTCTCAGAAGGCCAGTTTTACTCACCTCCTGAGTCTATAGCAGGTGAGCTGGCTAAATGAATTTCCACCTTACAGGCGTATGGAGGCAGATTTTAATATATTTCCCCATTTTACCATTTCCTGGCCTGTATGTATCAATGACATTCTGCAGAATACAATAATCAATATCAGGCAATTGCTTTGTAATTGTGATACTGATAATTAAACGGTAGTAAATTTGGTTGTTATCGTAATAATTATGAGAAACACACACACACACACACACACATATATATATATACATACATACACACACACTCACAGACATGCATATACAACTGCTGAAAAAATTAAGACACCACCAAGCAAAAAATTGTATATTGTACACAAACACACTCGCATAAACAGAAGAAAGTGAACTTAAAGCTGTTGCTGAGTCCAGAGCTGTATATGGTCAACTGAATTTGAATTATTCATTGTTTGAACTATTGTATTCAATGCACTTATGCTAGATTGTGGATTTATGAGTGTCAACATTACAATATTCATAAAATACAAATTTTTAAATTACATGCTAATAGTTTGTGTCTTGTTTTTGCCGAAAAAGCTCATGATGCCGTATTTCCAGAGGATGTTTATTGAGCTTTGGGCCAGCGTGGCTCACTCTGTCCGATAACTGTTAAAGAGTTGAAGGGAATGAAGTTTGTGAAAACAATGGGGTACGGTGGGTGGGCTATGTAATGCTAACTGTGTAAACAAGAACCTTTGCCCTGACACAGGTCTGAGTGCGTCGGCAGCTCTACATCCTTAGACAAATCTAGGTTTACGCTACTGGTTACCTATATTTGCAATGCAGGCTACATAATAGGCAAACAATTTTGTTGTGATATTTATTACTGGTAGTGTTCAGTGTATTATAATAAATACTATTTGTGCATAATACCATGTTGCTCCAAGCAGTGTGTCTAGCAGTGTCTTACAGACACTGAAAAGTATAGAAATTCCAGGAAAAGCTGATGGTATAGTTCTGATGAAAGACTCCGATCGGTTGGTCTTTTTTCAGATTCTGATCAAACAGTTGAAGAGCCAGAAGAAAAACGTGTCCGAGAGAAGCCTGCCGATTAGCACGTAACGTGTGCATTTTAAGTGGTCTTATTTTTATTATTATTTATAATTACAGCAGCTACCTCACTATAAAATGTATGCAAATGAATTGTGGTTTTACCTATATACAATTGTATTTTAAAAATATGTGTAATGCACAAAATATGTACAATATACTCTTTTTACTACAGATGTGCTGTGGGGCCCTACTACATACCAATGGTCAGTCTTGCCATCGATTTGCACTGAGATCTACAGTCCAAAGCATCCAATGCACTTAACGTCCCATTTAATTAGTGCCTAGTTTTGTCGATAAGATAATTGCTGGCATGTGCAGGGTATCTGTGAGGTTTAGTTTTTGTGTTTTTTTGTACGCTTGTAAAGATTTGAAGGTTGCAGTAACCTTAGTACATGCACTGGATATCGGTTTTGTAACTGTCTTTGGTTTGAAGCAATTTCTCATGTGATTGTTTTAAACACTGGTTTTTGTACTGTGAATATATGATGACACTGAATACATGTGGCAGGTGTATACATAACAAGCCCAAATTAAGCTGACTTATCTGTCACTGTTGATGAAAAAAATATCAAATCTCAACTAACTCATCTTTAACTCACTGGGAACAGCTGAGGAAAAATCTGGTGTTTTGGATGGTTCACTGACAAGTATTCTAGCAAATAAGCAATTTGTCAACCAGCCATATAAATATTAATGACAAGGTCTAACAGAGTCATGTGCAATTACACTAAATCGCATTGCAGGTGGACTCACTTCTGTTTCATTGACTTTCTGAATGTGAGCCTGTAATTTCCATATGGTCTTTCTGACTTGATTATTTTAAATAATACACTGCAGTATATATCCTTCCATTGAAATTTATAGTACTGTACATACTTATAGATCTTGCGTAGCGGTGTACTCGCTTTTGTGTGTGTGTGTGTGTGTGTGTGTGTGTATATATATATATATATATATATATATATATATATATATATATATATATAGTAATGCTTTACATTAACTGCACCTTCATAATGTCTTCATTAAGTATTCATAAAACATTCATAAACATATAAACATGTATTTATACATTAACATCCTAACATCCCTTTGTATAATCATGTATTGTTTGTTATTAATATGTATTAAAGCTGTTAAGGGATGTTAGTTTGGTAAGGTGTACGTGCATGATGCTTATGAATGTTCTATGAATGCATTACCAGCAGATATTATTCATCTTTTAATATGTAATTGGGTATTATAATTATAGTCCTGTGAATTCCTATATGTTGTTAAATTAAGCGATTTCATCTAAAACGCCATCACTCATAAATATGTCAGTGTGGTTCGTTTGTGCTTTCTAAGGCATGATGATGATAAAATACATTCAGACGGAAATGCTTGTTTAATTAAATTGTCATGTTAGTGCCTTGGAAAATAAATCAATATTTATTTTCATTTGGATGTATCCCGATGTCACTGATAGAGAGGAAAAAAGCACATTACATGGAGTCTTTTAAAGCATTTCAAGAATAACGTCAGAGTTTTTTTTTTTACAGCTTTAATAACTACGCTATGGAAATAAAACTCTCTGTTATAGTTTGTTTACAGTTTTGTAACTTTCTCCTGTAATTGTCCACAGTGCTACACACGTGTATGTTGTTGTGTGTTGCATCAGCGGGCTGTATTAAGGGAAGTATGTGTTAGGAACTACCTCGAGGATTATGAGAGATGTGTGTGTGATAGAGTACATTTCTGTGCTCTGTGTAACCACATGCCTTATTTAGCCTCATGCTGCAGAAGAGTTATTAAACAAAACAAAGGAGATGCACTCATTGTGAATTTTCTTCTTATTGTCATGGACATATTTTTGTGATTTATGCATATAGGAAGGCAAAAGTCCTTCTCCATAATCACATTGCAGAAAACATGCACTTAAACTTCATAGACAGTGAACTGGTGCATTCTTGCACAAATAAATACAGTTCTGGCTGTGACTAGGCTGAAAAACCTGTTGCTCAGCCCAGCCCTGACAGACCCTCATACAGTCCACAGCGCACCTGAACCAAACAATCAAGAACAAAACAAACAATTAAGAATGAAACAAACAATCAAGAATGAAGCAAACCATCAGTTATGTTGGGGGATGCCTCCTTTTTCAGGTGAATATAGCCAGTTTTATCAGCCTTTACCAACATCCCTTGCTTTAACCATTTAAAAATTAAGTGCAGCTACCACAAAAAGGAAAGACTGTATAATATTACTGTTACCTAGAAGGGGTGTGGTGAACATTCCCAATGGATATTAGTTGCATGTTGCTTCAACTAAATGTGGAAATAAGCTTTTTTTTTGCATCACATGAGGTATAGTGCTGATTATGTGAATTCACATTTGTTTGTCAGTGTTTTCAAGATTTTGTACTGTCTGGAGCTCTACAGTTGTTCATGCTTAAAGATGCTTGCGCACACCAAAAAACATTCTGAAATATTTACTAAAATATTATAAAAAAAATATTTAGATCTTTTTATTATGATTTTTTTGATGGCATGCTTTTACTTTTTCATAGAAAAGTGCCAAATGAATTAAATTTAACAAATATGTAAGTGAAAAATCTGTACCAAATATACATATACTGTAGCTTAATATTTCATGGTTTTGATGTATGATTATCCAACAAGACACTTTAGCTCCACCTAGTGTTTGTATATGATATTCACTAAAAGTTGTACAATAAATTGTTTCAGCCTACATGTTCCACTGTGTGTTAATATGAGTTTTGTTAGTAGGTATTAACATATGTACTTTGGAGTGCTGGAAAACTAGAATTAGGTTTGGTATATTTTTTACATTATAGTTGTACAATTAGATTGCACATATGACAGTAATATGGTTTTACCAATGAAAGCATCCATCCATCCATCCATGAGTCAGTCAAAAGAAAATAAAACTGGCACTTAAAAGAAAATGTCTGTGTGGAAGATATGTGCAAATATGTTGAACATTGCTTGTCAATGGACTTTTGTTATGAAACCAATAAATTGGCAACATTTTTATACAATTAAGAAAGCATCTCAAAACTTTCTGTAAGCATGGTATAGCGTATCAAATAAAAAGATATGTAAAGGTTTTACTAGAAGGCATCAATGAAATAAAAGACAACAGGAGGAAACAAGTACAGAGAAGCCTTTGTCTTTAGACATTTAATAGCCAGAATAAATGAATTTCTATGACTTGACCATGATGATTGTACTGTTTATAAGCTAGTTTTATTTACATTTAGGTCAAAAAACATTGTACATCACAAGGCCATTGGAATGAGAAAAGAATGCCAAATTCATTTGCAGTTAACCATTTCAATGGAGATTTTTTAGCAGATGAATTTGCACGGACATGTCAACTAGTGTTTTCTTGCCTTTAAAAAATGAGTTAATTAAATTCAGTACAGCATATCCTTAAATATAATTCACAAATAAATATCTCTCATAAACTTAGACTTTTTAAATTTAGACTTTTAAAATACAATATAGCAGGTATTTAAATACAAATAAACAGTGTTTCACTGGTCTGGAATGCTACATCAACTGATCATCAAAATTAATTGGTTAACTGAAAAATTGCATCTCTCAAACACTACAGTAGGAAAGTTTCATAACACCAAATAGTGTACTCAGTGTTTTATTTTGGCAACAACGTGATGCAAAATCAAGACCCTATCTAGCCATAAAAAAAAACAAAAAAAAAAAAAACAAATACAAACAACAAATTGGGTTATAGTTATAAATCCAACATTAAAAATAATTGCGTAATTGTGTGTTTGTAAACTTTAAGTAGGTTTCTTTATGCAGATTATAAATTGGGTATCAAAGCAACAATATTTAAATATTTCAATTAATAATGTGAAAGGTGAAAAAACATCAACTTTTCCTATATATTTATTAGAATTTTATTTTTCCACAGTTTTATATTAAATGAAAAGCATCTGTTGTTTCTCAGTGGCAAACATGTTGGTTTTGGCTTAAGAAGTAGCCAGATTATAGACTTGCATCATGCTTCATTATTATTTATGTGATTAAATAGTAATTTTATTCAAGTCCACAGAGTCACTCTGCTTGTTTGGTTGATTTTCACTTAATTCCAACAAACATCCACTGATTGTGTCAGACAGCGGTTTTGGCTGTGCCTTCATTAGTTCTGGGACCCTTACTCAAGGCGCTGGGTAAAGTTTTCCGGAAAGAGTCCCTTACATGCAAAGTCTCCTTCTTTTAACCAAGCGGATTCCTTAATTCCTGTGAGCCAACCTTCATCCTGAAAGAAAATGGGAAACAAGGGTTAATCTTCAGCAAAATTCATCCAAAAATAGGCAGAATTGGCTGTTTATATTGTCAATACTTTTTTTTCCTAAAAATTATTTTCTCTGGGTTAGGACTCTGTGCCTGTGATCAGAAGGCTGCTGGTTCAAATCCTGTGATCGTCAGTGATGTCACCATTAGGCCTTTGAGCAAGGCCCTTAATCCTCATGAGTGTGCCTCATGGAGAACTAGATGGGATGACCTGATTTCCCAGTGGGGATAAATAAAAATATCACCTGTATATTAGTTTTAGACATAAGAGAAGGGAAGTCCTAAAATTTCAATGAATCTTTATTTTACGCCACACCTTTTCATGGAAACAAGGTGAAGAGAATCATTAAACACTCCTGTTGACATTTATGAAGCTGCCTGATTGACACAGGAAGTCACATCCTTGCCTGAGCAACCATCTCTGTCTGGATGACCAGAACCACATCTCCTTTCTTCAGCTCCAGCTCGTCGACGCTTGTAGCTTCAAAATCATGGAGCATTTCCACCTGCAACAAAGGTTATAATTTTATTTTTATTATTCCCCGGATCAGTGGCGATGTGTGAAGTCCATTAGTGTGCTGGAACCACACTGGAATGCGGATGGAAGGGTTTAAAAAATACCGATTAATACTGTAATTGCACATCAGTCTAAATGAAGAGTGGTTTAACCACTAAGGTGTTGTGGAGAATGCTGTCATGCTTTACTAGTCTAAGCTTAAATATTGTTGGTTACAAGTATGATTAAAGGCCTAACATGAAATTTCAATAAGGATGCAGATTTTTAACATGCAAAAATCTGATGTAAGCGATAAAATTTATTTTTGATACGAGACTCTTCAGTTATGGAATTTATGTATAACTTATGTATAAATTCAACATGGTTAAGGTTTGGTGGAAGGCTGCTCTCGAAAATCAGAGGGTATCTGCAAAACGTTCAACACCAATCCAGAATCTTCAACGGGTGTGAGATCCTCCAAAATTTTGTATCAAGACCTCAAAAATTTTACTGGGCAAATAGTAATTTGATGCTTAGTGCGTCTCTGAGTGGAAAGGCCCACCTTGAAGTGGAAACCAGGAGGAAGTTCCTGGAGGCCATCTGATTGACTCTTAGTGTCCTCTGGATCTCCTTTGCCTGAATGGAGGCCATCTGATTGGTTATTAGTGTCCTCTGGATCTCCTTTGCCTGACTGGAAGCCATCTGATTGGCTATTAGTGTCCTCTGGATCTCCTTTGCCTGACTGGAAGCCATCTNCCATCTGATTGGCTATTAGTGTCCTCTGGATCTCCTTTGCCTGACTGGAAGCCATCTGATTGGCTATTAGTGTCCTCTGGATCTCCTTTGCCTGAGTTGCTCTCAGCCCCTCCGCCATCACTTATTTCAGCGGGCGTGGTGAACTCGGCGTCACGGTCATCGTCACCCTCGTTGCTTGAGGCTGCTTCAATCACCACAGAAGGGATGGCCATTGTCTCCTTCACAGACAGGAACATATTAGCCTTGGCCTAACTTTGAACACAATTTGTAGTTGATGAATATTGGCAAACTCAGTTGGATATTTACCTCTTCATCCTGAGAGTCTTCTCTGGCATCTTCTGTATTTTCCTCCCCTACTTCAGGCACTACAGTCTGGAAAAAATAATAAGCATTGGAAAACCACTAAGATCAACATCCATCCATCCATTCATCCATCAATCCATCCATCCATCCATTCATCCATCCTTCCATCCATCCATCACCCTTGAACAGTGCAGGGCCATGAGCCTGCAGCCTATCCCAGGAAGCACAGGACATGAGGCAGGGACCTTCCTGGATTGAAGATACCAATTGATTTTTGGGAAAAATTGGAGTACCTGGTGAAAATCTGCACAAGCACAGGGAGAGAGTGCAAACCACACACACATACTGCCCCCTGGAGGTGAGGCCTCCATGCTGCAAGGTCACCATGGCAGCATTCACACATGTGTAAACCTTACATTTGTGTTGCCATTAATTATTTCTGTTTCACAAATGGATTGTTATCTGGGGTTGTTCTTTGCAGGATTAAGCCTGAATTTTCTGTTTTAGCCTGAATTCAAAAAACGTGAAGAAGAAAAAAACAGATGCAACAAGTACTGTTTGGTGTCATGGCAGCTGGAATGCAATAATCCCTCCTGCACCAGCTAAATAATGCCTGACAGTTTTAGAAGAATTAACTTACATTAAAATACAGGAGAGTGAGCCATACCACAGGACTACTGTAACAACAGAACTTACCAAAGCTACATTTTAAATCTGTTCTGTTTTTTTTTGTTTTTCAAGCTTGCATATTCAGCTTGATTTCAAAGAGATTTATACATTTATAATATTGAAAGATATATAAAATAAACTACTTTCCAAATATGTATCACATACTCGAATCACACATCTGAAAATACACACCAAATATATTCACCATTCATATACATATACACTCACCTAATGGATTATTAGGAACACCATACTAATACG